GCCCTTATCTGGAATCCTCACACACTATCACAATTGGATCTTCAAGCGAGCGTGATGTCATAAATTCCTAATTAACACCCTTTCCCAGACACCTTTATTGACTTTTTGGTTGCAAATCATCCAAGAATGGCTGAAGAATGGCGGCACTGTCTGGCCAGCTTAATACCAGAGGGTAATATAAAGAATGTCATAAAAGGCCAAGATAAAGGCATAAATATCACGGCAGATTGACGTCTGGTATTAACTTGATTTCGGGGACGAGGCGGCTGTCAGAGTGGACCGTGTTTGCACATCATAACACATTCTTTAACCAGAAGTCAGTGTCAACCTGCGCTCATCTTCCTGTTTGACGAGTAACTTCTTACTGCAGCGACTCGCCAAACCTACGCAGGAGCTAAGGAGCCCCAGCAGCGGCATATTGTACGGGGAGGAAACCCTTTGTAGTTTTAATTCTCTCCTCGTGCCAGGGCCCCGCTCATACATTCACACCAGGATCATGTGCCGTTGCATGTCATGTACTGTGTCTCTGCAGGTTGGATATGGTTTCAGATTGACTGGTCAAAAGGTTTTGCAGCCTTAATTCCATGTGTAATGTGAGCAAAAGCGTATTAGCAGCAGTAATTATATAGTAAACATTCATTCTTACGCGTGTAAAGAGCAGCAGACCTTCTTTTTTGGAGTGACGCAGCGCAGACGACATCATTTGGGAAAAGACATACTCTCCATTTGACATTTTCACAGAGCCAGTGTTTTATTTTGGGGGATTCTGTCATGTGGGAGGTGACCTCGTGGTTGTGATTGTCGTGATTCAATCCCAGTTAGTAAATTAGAAACATTCATTGGCAGCGTATCGGAGATATAATACTGTTTAAAAGAAGTACTTTTATCCAATGAAAGACATGAATGTGTTGCACAAATCTCTATTAAATTGTAGGTCTAAAATGTAATTCTTCTCAGTGGTAGCTCTTTTATATATTAGATGAAAACAAATACTTAAATTTTTCTGGTGCCAAAAACAACTCAGAGAAACAAGGCGGCACCAGGGTTAAAGCAGATCTCATCAACGGGGAGGTGAACATAGTTAACAGTTCTGTCTCATATTGGCTGAATGTAAAAACAGTTCTAGAGGTAGAGAACTTCCCCGTCTTGTATAATCCTCTTAGCTGTGTTGAAAGCAACCAGGGTTTTTCATCCACTGACATTTTAGGGAAAATTAGTTTCACAGGGCTGCATTGAATTGATGCATACATCTATCAAGTATTCTTTTAATAATAGTCTAATTAGTCACACTGTCTATAAAATGTCAAAAAATAATGACAAAAAATGATTCAAAGCAACCAGTGTTGCTAAGTTTAGAAAAAGCCAAAAACCAACAGAAAAACAAATATTCATTTTTATAGGAAAGCAAGCATCAGTGAATGAAATCTATCAAAACAAACGTCTGTAGTTGTGATCAAAGGCGTTCAAAAAGACACACACACACACAAACACACACACAGTCTCAATAGACCCTCTCAGATATTATGGTATGGTATCAAAATCCATCATGAGCTGTGGCTTCTAGTTCAACAGTCATTTACCTGTAAAATGGGTAAATAAAACCAGGCTATAACTAAAAAACAATGTTGGTGCCAGACTCTACCCACATCAGATGTCTCTGATTTGATATGGGTTGTTGAATTAAAAAGGTGCATTCTGCCAATTTTCAACATGAAGATCGGTACAAATTGAGTTGCATCGTGGGAAATGTGGGATCCAGTATTGTTGGAACGTCACCTGTAGGGAGGAGTCATTGCCACGGCTGTATCATTTCTGACCATAACTTTTTTATATCTCTTGCGTGTCCCAAACTATATGAAAGCGTGACATTGGAATAACCAACACTCCTTAAATAGTGTGCAGCTTTGCCACCAGCAGCAGACAACTTCAGAGGATGACAACAGGTCCGTAATTCCCCTGTAAAATGACACTAATAAAGCTACGTGCTGATTGCTTACTTTACTTTCTTCTCAGCGTGATCGATTATAGAACGTATCTCTCGTTGCCGTTTTAAAGACAGAACTGTAGTGATATACAAAGCATTTATTGTTCAGTTAATTCCTTGCCAGCACAATGAAATACAATTAGGTCTCTTTTGGAGAAACAATTTTGTGAAAAACATGAACCGTGTGAAGACTCAAGAGAGCTCAAGAGGGTGCGAGTAATTCAGCTGAAGGATTTAATTGCAAAAGCTCTTTTATTATTTATTTGGACAGCAAATTCCACTTTATCCTCTACTATTTCTCTGCTGGAATATGTAAAACCACAGCGGCAGAACGCTGTCCTTAATTCTCCCCGCCATGCTGTACCCACAACACATACAGTATTGCTTACATGTATATATAGTCTTTTGTTAATGTTTCTTACACGGGGATCCATTTGAAGTCCTCTCCTAACACAACTCATGCATCATTATTTGTTCGTCGGGGCCCTGGAAATGTTTTTGCTTCCCTCTGTGAAGCCTTGTCCGCAGGGCTCCGAGAGCTCCCCCCGTCGGTTCCCACTGAGCTCTAATCTCTTCACTCCCGTCTATCTTTGCACCGTGCACATGTCAAAAAGGAGCTGCCGGCTCGACTCGGCGTCACAGAGAATGTTTGACTACGATCTCACTCCCCCCCCTTTCACACCCTCCGGCAGGCCGGCCGGCCGGCCTCAACTTTTTCTGTGCCGTCCCGCGGCCGCTCATCTCTCCCGAGTCTCCCCTAATGTCTCTCTACCCCCCCTCGCCGTAACGCAGCTGCTCCGAGTCGATGGATGGATCTGCGTCGTGGAGGGAGGAGGCTTGGATGTGTCCTTCAGGCTACTAGCGGAATCAGCAACATGCACGGAGCCCCACTGATGTCTGATGAATGTGTGTAACACTCTGAGAGAGAGCACCGCTGATGTAAATTGGTATTGAATTTGGAGTTAAGGCACCGAAACTCACCAAATGGAAATTGCCTGGATTCAGCAAGTCTTTGTAGATTCATATATTTACTCTAAAAGGGTAAACGGAATCCTTTTTCCGTTGCAACTTGTGACCAGCTATTTTCATTGCGTTACGTCTTAAACAGATTTGCCTTGATAATATGGAGATGCTGCCTTTAGCAGATAATAGATCTAAAAAAAAAAATGCTTCTTTTGTTAGTTTCTCAAATTGTGAAAATGTGATTTTCTTCTGACATCATCAACCATGTATGGGATTTACAGTACGTAAGTTTGGAAACATTTTCTCATTCAGTAAGTGTGTCCAAACCTTTGATTAGTACTATAAATGAAACTACGTATGTCACTTAATGACGTGAAATATGATATTAAATGTGATTTTAATTGCAATATTTTTAGTAATATTTTTAGCTGAAGCAATTGGTTCAAATAAATACAAACAGACATTTTGTCTTTTATATGGAGATTAAGGTTGATTTCTTGGCGCTTTTGTGTCAGTATTGTAGACATTGGAAAAGGCTTTTTCTAAAGGAAAAACAAAAGACACTGGTTACTCTAAAGTTTACTAATTGGCTAGTTATATCTCAATTGTTTTAATCCCCAAATAAAAGACAGCGTAAAAACTAAAAGCAGTTGTGTGCTGGAACATTTTGTTGACCAGACCCTCGTGCTGTTGGACAGATTTCTCGGCGTTGTGAGAGGGTTTCCTGTCTTCTAACACCACAGCTTGGTCAGTGGCCTTATTCTTCCAACTATAACCCACTACGACGCAAGTAACCCTCCAGGATCGGTATTCGTTGTGTCATGGATGGCGTGTCAAGTTTCTATTCCCTTTCCATTCAAAAGAAACTTCTGATTTGACAGGACATGTACGTGTCTCTACTCATTACATTTATACAGTCTCATGTTTTTTTGTGTAGTTTTTAGTTTGACTTGCCAAGATCTGCAGGGCTTGGAAAACGTTGTTGCTCTGGGCACCTTTTTTTTATCCAACTGGCTTGTAAAGCTCATTAGTTGCGTTGATTTGGTGTCGCAACTCTTCCTTTTAGCTCGAAAAGGCAGGACCCAGGTTTAGTTATTAATCAATACGCGAACGGTTTTAATATTCCGTCATTCAAACCATCATACTTTGGATGTCGCCGGTAAACAAAACAATTTTCCATCTATGTATTACACCCGCGCCATACGCCCGACCTCAGTGTTTTTCACTCTCCGACGGTGAAACACAAGAGGGTTGGATTAGCTTGTCTATGTCGATTTGGGTATTACTGGATTTAGCTTTAAGACCCTTTAGCTGACACTCTCTCTCCATCTGTCTTGACAAATGGAGAGAGAGACCATTACCAAAGCAGAATAATGTGCATCCTAGTGGTGAAGAAAGGTACGTTCTCTGAGGCCATAAGGGCATTATCGCACATTGTTTTCTCACCTGAGGTTAAAACTTCAATACAATAATAATAATTCAGTTTTATTGAAATTGGACCCTGAAGGGTCTTTTTTGCCAGTCGGCCTTTGTTTTCTAATGAAATACGTAAATAAACATTTAGTCGAAGCTGTGTTGAATGTTGTTGGCTTTTTGTGTGAATCTATTTAGCGCCTTTGCCCCAGAAAGTGTTCAGCGTCTCAAACATGATCAATCACTGTCTGTCTATAGGAGTTTACTACGGATTATTTACAGCAACATCAATCAATAAAATGACACATTACAAACTAAAACGAGCGTTAAACTGCTGCCCGATTGACCCCTACGATTACCTTAACCCTTATCGCATTCATTTTCTTTTTTTTAGGTATTTTAGTATTCTAAAGCTCATCTCTGGCCTCTCAATTCTACTGACGGCAGACGCGTAAATCGGCGAACGTGTATAATCAAAGCCAACGCGGTGATGGGCTCATTAAAGCTCGGGGAGCGGAGAGGAGGAGCGTCGGTCTGGCTGCCGCTGCTGCATTGGCTGTCTTCTCAGCGGGGAGGGGCTGAGGGAGGGAGAGAGAGAGAGAGAGAGAGCGGGAGGCAGAGAGAGAGAGAGTTGGGGGAGGAGGGCAGCGCTCTCGTTCGGGAGATAGGGAATGCCCGTTAGTTGCGTCTGCCAATAATAGCCCATCAGCCAGAGCGCCGGCATCGGGAGAGCAGGAGAGCGCAGGCAGTGCGGAGGACCGAGCCGCCGAGCACAGGAATGGTACACTAGGAGGAGGAGGAGGAGGAGGCAGGCGCACTCAGAGAGAGCCAGGGCATCGGAGGAGAGAGGAGCAGAGCGGCGAAGACAAAAAGTTACCGGGTCAGCAAGATAACGCGGAGAAGCGGTGCAACTGGGACTCACCGCTCTCTTTTCCCGGCGGCAATAAGCAGCAGAGGAGGAGAGTGATTATTACAAAGAGGGGACGGAGGGAGTGCTGTAACTTCTTCCCAGGAAAGACGGTCCTGTCACAATTCCCCCCGCAGGTCTCCTCTGCAGAGACGCATGACTATCCCAGCAAGACAGCTGCAGCGCAGGAGACACTTGGGTCTGGCAAAAGGTGCCTGAAATGTGCCGTTGTACTCACTTCTCTGCTGAAGCGTTTCCCACCCAGCTGAAGTGGAAGTAGTTGTTCTTCTGGAAGGCTTTTATCTTTTATGTTGCTTCAGAGTTTGTAGCAGTGGTGACTTGGTGGCTTATTTGTCCAGTCCTTTCATCCCTGAGACTATGGTAGCCGGTGCGTCGGGGAGCCCTTCATCAGCAGCTACAGCCCTAGAGCATGGAGAAGTCCAGCAGTGAGGAGTCAGCCATTCACCGCAGCCCCTCGGTAGACAGCCCGGACTCCGACTTTGCCCAAGCCTCCACGTCTGGCCACCCGTTTGGCGGCCGCGGCTTCACTGCCGGCGCGTTCTACGGCTCCACGGGCCCGCGCAAGGACGCGCAGCAGGGCCAGGCTGGAGTGGCCGCTGACGCCGGCGCCGGAGACAAGACCAACAAGTACAGCTCTCCCAAAGGCAGCAAATACGTAGTCTTTTACCTGGATCTATCCTTTGTGTTCCTTTTAGAATTCAAGAAGTGCAACATGGCAAGGGGCTGCCTCTGCTGCTTGAAGTATATGATGTTCATCTTCAATCTCATCTTCTGGGTAAGTGGCTCATCATTTTTTTTTTTTTCAATGATTTTCTCACACACATGAATCCTGATAATGTTCAAATGTGTAAGAAAGGGAGCTCTGCATCTGTAATTATGCTCACAAATGTGTGATGTGTCTTTTTCATTTTTGGGGGGGAAACATGATGGCAAAGGGATGGTTGTCTGTGAAATAATTTGTTTTGTATTACATCCAGCCTGTTTCACATTGTGCACGTTGCTATTCCTGGATATGACGGTGGCATTGCTCCACGTCTTCTTTTGTATGTCAGTGTGTGTGTGTGTGTGTGTGTGTGTGTGTGTGTAGGAGGAAGGGGGGGGGGGGGGGGTGAGGGGGGGTGGAGGGTTACTCATTGAGAGGGTTGGATGATTTACGGTGGACATGGGAGTTGAAACGCAGCTTTAGGCATGCAAGTGAAAAAGTATGTGCCTCCACAGTACAGTTACACTAATAAGGAACACATCATGCCCCAAGGAAATCAGGGTTGAGATGGTCAGCTGGAGCTCTGGGTGATTCTAAAGATCGGATGTTTGAGCTTCTTGTTATTATTTCTTGACAGGCTGACAGTGATAATCGAGTACATTTTTTTCAGGACATTTGGCCCCCGACATTTTCATTACGAAATTGTTGTAATTATCCGTATTTGTTGTAATCCTCGAATAATAATAAGAGGCGGGAAAATAAAAACAAATGTGATGGGTCTGTTTGCCAAATTTACCTCAAAAAATAGATCCAACCCTCAGAGACCAGACCAATGTGTGGCCGACTTTGCTGTGTACATTTGCTGGCATTTGTGGTAAATGTGGGCATCCCTTAAATGTTTACACAACGGATTAGAGGGCTTATAGGTTATTGGGCCAAGTCTTTTGTGTGGATGCAGCAAAGCGTGAAAACGCCCCAACACTGGGGTCTCTACCATCCCCGTCCCACCATGTCACTGGGTCGTGAGCCCTACAAACTGGGGCACATTGGAGGAAACAGAGTGGGCATTAACTTAAGCCCAGCTGTGATCAGGCCAGCATTGAAAACACACACACGTACACATGCGCCACACAAACCCAGATCCATCACTTTGTACTGAAAAAGGAAAAAGCACTGGCGGTAACCGGGTCCCGTGGCCGTCTGTTATCCCCCGGGGCGACATCTCCGTATCGCACTCATGTCATTAACCAGTCCACAAAGAAAAAGGGCCAGAAACAAATGGCTCAGCGGCTCTTCTGCGGGCCGGCCTCACCTTGATGCAATGTTTGTTTAAGCGAATGGAAGGGTCGGAAGACATTAGACGTTTTGGGATTAATCAATGAAGACATTGGCTTACCTTGATGCGAGTAAACACATCCTTTCATTCATTCAGTACACCCGCAGTGCAAGTAAGTGCTCCAGCCTTGATATTTAGATAGGAAGGGAAAGTTTTAAGTGATTTGCCAGCCACATAAAAAGGATCAATCTGCGGCGGATAATCATAATGTGTTGTGTTACTGAAAGGTTCATTGAAACAGAAGAAATGGGTAATTTTCACAGAAAAGCCTCAGTAAAGGGAGGTTTTGAATCAAAAAATGAAATAAGCACAAAAAGGGCTGAAACGTATGAAATCCCTATCGACAGATTGGAGATCAAGAGCCGAAGGGGACATTTGTTCACCAGTAGAATGTCACGACCTGGCTCCACCAAAGGGCCGCCACGAGGAGCACGGATCACATGTGCTGCCGTGTCACAGGTTCTCGTCATGGCACAATTGATTTACTCATTCAACCGATGAATTGTACCTCATCTCGTTCTTTCTTTGAAGTAAAAAGGAAAATACAACAGATCAAGGTCCTGTTACACCAACGGGGAAACACCAGCGGTATGTCAGTTCTGGACTGCTCGGCTTTTTAATAGCTCGGAAGAGACCTCGGTGGGCTGTTTTAGGTCAACCTTTGACAGGAGTCACAGGGTCATTACGATCCGCTATCTTCTGAGGGGGGTTTGGGGGGGGGGGGGCAGTCATGGGGGATTTGTGGGAAGGCGTTTGCTTCCAAGATTCTTTCCGGGCACAATTTGTCCTTAAACCTTTTTCAGTGGTAGAACTCCACCACTAATAACCGGCTGCTTACACACCACTAACAGGGGAGGGGGGAAGTGGCTTTGGATTTCAAGGCTGGTGGCGCCCAAATCATGTGGAGCCGAGGCTTGTTGGCCTCCGAGGAAACGCGTTACAACCATCCCGAGAGTGCGCGCCGAAGCTCTCCCTCAAGTCACATTCCTTCCAATCGTGTGTTTGAGTGTCTGTGTGTGCGCGGGGACCGTAAGTGGCTGTGGACTTTACCCAAGCGCAGCAAAGCCCCCCCTGCTGTGAAATAATTGAATTTTTCTCTGGTAATGTTGCCTTAATGAACAGCCACCATGCATTTTCCCTTTCTGCTCCCGCAGATTGATACTCTTGTTTTCCCCCCCCCTCCCCTCCCCCCCCGGTAGATCATTTTAACCACGGTTTATTCAGTGTCCCATGGGAAGCGAGTGGGGTGAGGAGCGGGTTGGAATGCAACATGTGGCGGGCGTATCCGTCCCACCAGCGTGCGACGCGCCAAGCGGACGGTCGCCTGGTTGCCTTTCTGGATTCTGGGGCAGACGTGAGCCTTTTATGAAGGTTAGCAGAGCTGGGAATAAAAAGGGTTCTATCGCCAGCGAGGTGCACCGGAGCACTAGCTGAGATGCAGGGAGGAGGGTGAGAGGCATGTTGTATCTTGACACCCCTGGGACGGCACCGCTCGACCTCTGACACTCCAGGAATCACAAGGTTACTGCAGCTGGTAAGGAGGTTTGCCTCTGAAGCTGAGACATCTCATCTCAGCACTGCAGGGGGGGATGATGCCCCGCTGTAACCTGACGCCAGGTACAGCGCGGGGCTCCTCTTTCTGACCGTGCGCGCACATGAACCAGCAGGCGTTCGCTCACCAACCCCTGCTCCACGGGGCTTACGGTTTGTAACTTGAAGACCAAGGTAAACAGCAGCAGGCACTCCAGGCATCTCTGTAGATGCGCTCATCCTTTTGGCCCCCCTAGCAGTTGTTCATGACCATCTGGCTCCTCTTTTCTTATAAGGGATTAGAAGAAGCTGAGCTGCAGGGGGAGTCTCGGGTGGATTAGAACAGCATTGGGTGGTGCTGTTGGGATTGACAGCACGACTCCTCAGGACAGCTCCATTCTAAGCAATGGCCTTTGTGCTGTGACAATGTGCTGTGTCGTTGTGAGAGGGGCCCGTTGTGCTCACATACACACATCACCTGATAAGGTGATTGATATTACGACCTATTAGGCGTCAGCCCCTGGGAGCATATTAGCGTTGGTGTTCTTGCTCGCCACCTCCCCCGTTAATCTCTTCCTTTCAGGCTTAAATTTACCATCCACGTTCGTACAAATGTGTCTTGTCCGGCGACAACTAGCACCTTTAAAAAGTAAGAGAAGGAAACACTACGCAGGGATTCATTCGGCCAAAATTGGTTGCTTATCCGGTGTAAGAGATAAGTTGAGATGTAGCCAAATGAGCCCATCCGATGTTTGCCATCATCGTGCCATATCAGAAGCTCAAGCCACATTAGATAATCCTATTTCAAAGAAAGATGTCAGCTCAGCAGTCTTGTCCTACAAGTAGATGTGGGATGGTAGTTCAAAGGCACTACTTCTGTTAGAGCAGAGAAAACCAAATGCATTTAGCATTCATGAATTGCCGTGCTTACTTAGGGGATTGCTGCAGGATTTATAAACCATTTGGTCCTCGGCAACAGAAGATGTAGTTTCCACATCGATTTGATCACTGTGTTCAAAAACGTACCTGCGTTGTGCCTGCAAAGAGTCGAGCTACCGACTGACTCAAGGTGGTCTGTAAGAAGTGTATTTGAACATCTGCATCTGGTTGAGTGAAATTCAGAAAAGCATTTCACAAAAGCGCCGCCTTTCCCCCCCGTGGGATTTACGATCCGAGGTGCTGAAGCTATTTGTATTGTGTTCTTCTTCTCCCTTTTTTACAAGAGGCAGAGCTGAACTGCCATCAGTCACTGCCAGGTGAAACAATGATCGTGGCGAGGGAAAATAGACGGGGGTCGAGCGGGTTCTATGGGATGACGAAACCAGCTGTATATGATGCGCTGTCACATGCATTTCATTTCGTCAATCCTCCGTGAAAGGCTGACTGTTGAATCCTGTTTGAGTTTGAAATGGCAGAATGAAGAGTAAACCTCAGCCAGTCTGTCCACCTGAATTTTACGCCTCCGGCTATGATTGGATGGGTAGTCTGCGGATTTAAATCAATGCTCAAAACAAGCGGTTACAGATTATAGGGCATTACATTATTAACTTCATCCACTATATAGTTTACAGCATTTACTTTGAAAACATCTGTGTATATAAACGATTCTTAAATCAGTGGAAATCTCGCTATTAGCATTCTGACGATCTGTTATTAGCATGGCAGATCGTCTGGAGAGATCACTCTGATTTACACATCTCTCAGGGCCGCTTCGATCTCCTGGCCGCGTTGTGGGCGCCGCCGCTGAGCTCATTAGCTGATGTTGCAAATCAAGCGGGATGCGGCGCTCCCGTGTTTCAATCTTAAGGGGTTGAGGAAATAGAGCAGGGGAGTCGGAGGGGTGGATAGGTGGATGGGTATGTGGGGATTTGCAAAGGAATTAAGTCAGTTAGAGCACATAGAAACCCCTCAGTGTTTTGATGGATCCATCTGAAAGTCCCCTTCTGGTCCAATGAGAAAAACATACATTCACACTGGCCAAATCTGTTGTGGTCAGGGTGTTGATTGGAAAAATGTCTCATCAGGAATGATTATACATTACATCTTGTCTGCCCAAGCACATGAAACATAGGGATCTTGTTTTCTCTAAATATAGGCCAAGAGGAGTTCAGAGCAGAGGGAATGTGAGAACGATAAGGGGGGGGGGGCATTAGTTCTGCATACACAAGCAGGATCTTTTGTAATGACTATGCGCCAAATTGTGCAC